TTCGATCGTGGCCCTCGACCCTGAGCTCGATCTGGGCTTCGATCGTGGCCCTCAACCTTGAGCTCGATCTGGGGTTCGATCGTGGCCCTCGACCCTGAGCTCGATCTGGGCTTCGATCGTGGCCCTCGACCCTGAGCTCGATCTGGGCAGAAGCAATTTCCAACAGAAGAAAATTGCAGTAGTTGTTCTAGTTCAATTTTTGATCCGTTAACCATCTGAAACCCACCCGAGGCCCTCGGGACCTCAACCAAATATACCAAAAAGTCCTAAAACATCATACGAACTTAGTCGAATCCTCAAATCACCTCAAACAACGCTAAAACCATGAATTACACCCCAATTCAAGCCTAATGAACTTTGAAATTTCTAATTTCTACAAACAATTCCGTAACCTATCAAAACACGTCCGATTGAACTCAAATTTTGCACACAAGTCCTAAATGACATAACAGAGGTATTCCAATTTTCAAAATCGGATTCCGACCCCGATATCAAAAAGTCAACCCCCGGTCAAACTTCTCAAAAATAAAACTTTCGGCATTTCAAGCCTAATTCCTCTACGGACTTCCAAATAATATTTCGGACACCCTCCTAAGCTCAAAATCACCATACGGAGCTATTGGAATCATCAAAATTCAAATTCGAGGTCGTTTACACATAGGTCCATATCCGGTCCACTTTTCTAACTAAAATTTTCAATTATGAGACTAAGTATCTCATTTCACTCCGAGTTCCTTCCGGACTCGAACCAACTAACCCGATATAACATAATATAGCTGAATAACACAAAAAAGAAGTAGGAATGGGAAAAACGGGGTTATAACTCTCGAAACGACCGGTCGGGTCGTTATAGTATCAGAGCCATGTGTTCGTTAGTTCCCGGCGTCCTCTACCTAGCGATGTTACCCTCGTATGCTATTATCAAGGATTTCGTCTTCGTCGAAGATTTTTGATTTTTCTGATTTTCGTTGAAATTTTTCGGTTTTCGCAGTGATTCTCTTCTCCTTTACTGTCGGAGCTGCGTTATTGAGTTGGAATCTCTGGCGCTCCAGCAATTTTTGGTTTTGTTTTTTCACATCTAGGGTTTTGAGCACTTCGATTGGGATTTCGCTTGTAATTCCGTCTCCTGTGCATTTTTCCTATCAAGGTCTTTGCTTCTTCAGGTCGCGAAGAAGTTTGGTATATTCGCTCCTTGCTTAATATCTTGCATTTACTGTGGTGTAGTCATTTCGTCGGCATATTATCTGTGCAATGTTTTTTGGATAATCTGGTCTGCTATCATGGTTAATTCTGATTCTGGGGTGACTTCCGCTACTACATATATTCCTGAGCCCTCTGGTCCACTGTTTCTTCTCCCGTTTGATGTCCCTAGTGTGTGTCTTGTTGCTGTCCCGTTTTCGGGCACTGGATTTGGGGGATGGAAGCGTAGTATGATGGTGTCTTTGTCTGCTAGAAACAAAATAGGCTTCATAGATGGGTCTTGTGCTAAGCCTGCTGTGAATTCCCCTCAATATCGGCAATGGGACAGGTGTAATAATATGGTAATATTATGGTTAATCAACTCATTATTCCCAGACATAGCTGAGAGTGTGCAGTATTCTGAGACAGCTGAAAGTATATGGAAACAATTAAACAACAGATATGGGGTTGTTAATGGAACCAAAGTTTTTGAAATAAAGAGAGCTTTCTTCTACCTATCAGGGTTCTCTTGACATTGTATCGTATTTCAATAAACTTAAGAACTATGGGATGAATTGGGGCTATGCGCAACAGTCATGCAAACTCCTATAATTGTCTTGCTAAAGAGGGTCTTCAAAAGGAAAAAGAAGAAGATAAAGTACATCAATTCCTTATGGGTCTAAATGAGGTATATGTAGGGGTTAGAAGCAATATTTTGATGATGCAACCACTAACATCCCTTGATAATGTGTATAACATCCTATTACAAGATGAAAAACAGAGACAAGTTGTCCCTATCACTCAGTTCAACTCAGAATCAGCCTCTTTTAATGCAAATTCCAACAAAATTCTTCCTCAATTTCTATCTCAAAAACATTATGCACAGAGGGTAAATTTTGATCAGAACATCCAGAAAACCAATTTTGATCAGAATAAAGCCTCTTTGTCCTGCAAATACTGCAAGAAGCCCGGCCATACTATTGAAAAATGTTATAAACTCCATGGCTTTCCTCCAAACTTCAAGTTCACAAAGGGTAAAAGGATTGGTACTGTTGCAAGTATTGAAGGCCAGCCTTCTGGGACCTCTGATTCTGCTGCACTGTATTCCTCATCTAGACATGAGTCTTTAGTTCCTGGTCTCACCAAAGAACAATACTCTCAGCTGCTTAATTTGCTTCAGCATTCTACACTAGGTGAATCCAATTCTCAGCATGTCCTCATGGGTTCTGCCAACTTTGCTGGTAATACTTCTTCTTTGCCTTTGTGTCTAAATGATAGTTCTACTGTGCGTATGTTAACTAGTGTATCTAGAAGGGTATGGATAGTGGATTCTGGAGCAACTGATCATATGACCTCTAATAAAAATCTACTTTTTAACATAACACCTCTTCATGTACCTTACTTAGTCTCCTTACTTAATGGTTACAAGGTTAAGGTTACCTGTACAAGTTCCCTTACTTTGCTACCATCTTTCACTCTACACCATGTGCTGTACATTCCTACTTTCCATTTCAACTTGATTTCAGTCAGTAAGTTGATTGGACAATTCAATTGTTATGTCATATTCACTTCTTTTTCATGTATACTTCTACAGGCCCATTCTATGAAGAAGCTTCTGGAACTTGGTAGAATGGACCAAGGATTATACAAATTCCATCTTCCCTGTTTCTGCACTTTCTAATTTTGTTGTTTCTGAAAACTCTGTTTTTACTTTCAATAATGTGGTACAGGTGCTGAACCTTCATTGAATGCAAATATACATGTGAATTCTAATTTTGTTGCCCCTTCTATCTCTTGTAGTGCTTAAGATGCAATGAATAAGAATGATATTCTTTGGCATCACAGATTGGGGCATGTCCCTTTTGTGCAAATGAAACATATTTCTTCTATTTCTCATGATTTGTCATCTAAACAATCTTTTATATGTCATGTTTGTCCTTTAGCTAGACAACCTAGATTACCTTTCCAAGATAGCTCTTCTCTTTCCACATCACTTTTCCAACTTATCCATGTTGACACTTGGGGACCTTACCATACTCAAACATATTCTGGAGCAAAGTATTTTTTAACAATAGTCGATGATTACAGCAGGGCAACCTGGACACATTTAATACATTCTAAAAGTTATGCTTTCACTCTACTTAAAGCATTTATTGTCATGGTAAAGACTCAATTTAAACTCTTTGTCCAGAAGGTTAGAAGTGACAATGCTCTAGAGCTTGGGTCTTCTAACTCAGCCATTCAATTCTTTTCTGATAATGGCATCATCCACCAAACTACTTGTCCCCACACACCACAACAAAATGGTGTGGTTGAGAGTAAACATAAACACTTACTTGAAACTTCAAGTGCTTTGCTGTTTCAATCCAAACTCCCTGTCAAGTTTTGGGGAGATTGTGTTTTAACATCAACTTACCTTATAACTAGATTTTCCTCTTCAGTCTTATCTCACAAAACTTCTTTTGAATTATTGTATGGAGTTGCTCCTTCTTATTCCCACTTGAAATCTTTTGGCTGCCTTTGCTATACCACAGTCCCTAAGTGTCAGAGGGATAAGTTTCAACCTAGAGCTTTTTCTTGTATTTTCATTGGGTATCCATTTGCTAAAAAGGGTTACAAATTATACAATTTACAAACTAAGTCTGTTCTGTTCTCCAGAGATATTGTGTTTCATGAATCTATATTTCCTTATGTTATTTCTTCTTCTCCCCCTATCTCTTCTACATTCTATGATGCTCATGTTGTGCCTCATCTTGTTTCACCATCAGATGTTCCTTTACCTTCTCCTGTTACTTCACACACTTCTACTAGTCCCCTGCCTGCTCCTGCTATATCTTCTGATATCTCTTCCCCTCCTGATAACATGGATGCTCCTACTACATCTTGTGATGACTCTTCCTCCACTGATGACATGGGTTCATCTGTTCTTGAGCTTAGAAAGAGCTCTAGAACCCATCAATTTCCTTCTCATTTGAAGGACTACATTGTTCAGCTTCCTCATTTTGTTTCCTGCTCCACCACTGCCTCTCTTTCAGCCTCACAACCTGCTGCAGTAGAGTCTCATTCATACACTCAAGCTATTTCCATACCAACTTGGCAAGAGGCTATGAGTAAAGAGTTTGAGGCTCTAGAGGCAAATCAGACTTGGACAATTGTTGAATTGCCCCCGGGAAAGAGGCCAATAGGGTGTAAATGGATGTACAAAATCAAATATAAGGCTGATGAGAGTGTTGAAAGGTATAAAGCAAGATTAGTGGTTAGAGGTGATACCCAGGTAGAGGGTGTTGACTTTACCGAGACTTTTTCTCCTGTAGTTAAGATGTGTACCATTAGATGTTTGGTTGATGTTGCTGTTAAAAAATAATGGCCCCTATTTCAGTTAGATGTTAATAATGCCTTTTTGCATGGGGATTTAGATGAGGAGGTGTATATGAAGCTCCCTCCCGGTCTTTCTGTTAGTTCATCTTTTGGGACTGCTCCCTTGGTTTGCAAGTTACAAAAGTCCCTTTATGGGCTACGACAAACCTCTAGACAGTGGTATGACAAGTTGTCGCAAGCTCTTTGTTCTAGAGGATACAACCACTCACTAAATGACTATTCTTTATTTGTTAAGAAATATGAATTTTTCACAGTTTTTCTTGTTGCTTACGTAGATGATATTATTTTGATTGGGGATGACTTTTATGAAATTTCTGCCCTCAAAATTTTTCTCCATGCCCAGTTTAAGATCAAAGATTTGGGGTTGCTGCATTATTTTCTGGGTATCGAAGTATGTTATCACACATCAGGTGTTCTTTTGCATCAAAGGAAGTTTGTTTCTGATTTGCTTAATGAGTATAACTGTAGTGAAGTGTCTCCAGTTGGTAGTCCTCTAGAACTTCATCATAAGTTGCATTCTGATGTTGGGGATCTACTTCCTCGACCTGACACCTATAGAAGTTTAATTGGAAAGTTAAATTTTTTGACTCATACCAGGCCAGATCTTTCTTTTGCTGTCCAACATTTAAGTCAATTCTTAAATAAAGACACCTAGAGTTCCACATATGGGTGCTGCCTTGCATGTCTTGCGATACTTAAAGGGCACTTCTGATTTTGGAGTTTTTCTGAATAATTCTCCGGACTTCTCCTTAATTGCTAGCTGTGACAGTGACTGGGCTGCTTGTCATGAGTCTAGATGATATGTTACCGGTTTTTGCATCCAAATGGGTGAGTCTCATCAGTTGGAAGTCTAAAAAATAGCATATTGTTTCTTTGTCCTCAGCTGAGGCAGAATACCGCGCGATGAGCAAAGTGGTAGCTGAATTGGCTTGGTTAGTCAGGCTTTTGGTTGACTTAGGTGTTTCAGTTGGTGGCCCAGTCCTAGTTCTTTGTGACAGCCAAGTTGCGATTCACATTGCAAAGAACCCGGTATTTCATGAGCGTATCAAACACATCGAGGTCGATTGCCATTTTATTCGTACCAAGTTGGCTGATGGGCCTATTTCTTTATCTCATGTTCGTACTTGTTCACAACCATGACATTTTTACCAAGTCTTTGGCAGGTCTGCAACATCGTGCTTTAAATGACAAGTTAGGTGTGTGCCACCCTCCAACTTGAGGGAGTGTTGGAGATACATGAAGTGCATTTGGGCCTGGCCCGGTTTATTTATGAACTGTTGTAGAGCCTTAATCTTAGTTAGTTAGTCTTAGTTTTATTCATTGAGTTGTAAATGAGGCCCAAAATATATAAGAGAGTTAGAGAATATTCCAGATCAGTTTTGGTCAGATTTTTTAGTACAGAATGCAAGTTCTTTTCTCCCATTTCTCTTACTCTTTACATTTCACAAAACCCTAACTACAATCTGTCAATTTCTTTCGATTTTAATGGCTTAACAAAGGGCATGATATTATAGATAGATGTGATGCGGAATGCTGCAGCGTCTAACTGTTCTGATACTTGAAAGAGAGGAATCATAAAGTTTGGACTGCGAAGCATTCAAAGCGGTCAGTTGATTTGTGTACCCGTAGGCATTATTGGAGTTACGTGGGGAAAAGACGTAGACTTTCGTTCTGGCATAGAAAAGTATTTAGCTCCGGCTGTGGTTTTTGTATTATCCCTCTTCTGCGAGGCTCCTGCATTTCCCAAGAAATTAGCACAAAAGTTCCCCTGCCTTGCACCAGTTTGTGGTGGATATAGCGTTTCTCCTTTTGGAGTAGGAATATGCAATTCTAAAGAATGATTCAGCTGGAGTAAAGTGAAGTCGGCTTGTGAGAGAGTGCATTGCAGAGTGTCCGGGCCTAAAGTGTTTCTCGTCTTGTATTTTCTGGCAGAATTCTGTGTCTTTTTACGTTGAGATATTTTATGCACCATTTGGTTCGCTGCTTAGAAGCCTAGTAGCTTTGATTGATCAAAGAGAGGAAAAGTTAAGAGTTGTTGTTCTTATATTAATTAATGGGTTGCATCAGTAAGATATAAGAATGACTTCTCTGTTGCCACCAATTCCCGCCCCTCAGAAATTATTCATGAATCCAACCCATGGGCGAAGCTACATTGTCATAAGGGTGGTCTTCGTTGAAAAATTACTCTATGTATATAGGTAAAATATTAGATTTTAGAGGTATATGACATATTGAACACCCTTTGTCGGAGAATTTTTTTCACTTCTTTCAAGTTTGAACACCCTTGGATAAATTTCTGGCTTCGCCATTCCAACCTCAACTTTTTCCTTTCAACCATCAAAGAAAATTTTCCTTGCAAGGACTGAGCAATAGTCTACCTATTTGATAATCTGAACTTGACAAATGACGGGCGTTCTGGAAAGGATTATGAACAACTAGAAGCGTTTATCTGGGTAAATTCTTGGTATAATAATACTAGGTATCATGTTCATGAAAGCATCTACATATTCAACCCGTGTTAAGCAATAATGGACAGAAACAGACCGTGATTTATTATAAAGAGTCTGAAATTTAGCCACAATAATGTTACACGGCAGAACAATGAATATGGTTATTAAGATATATTTAGCCACAACCCATGAAAGCATTTACATTGAAAGATATATAAATATGGTTATTAAGAGTCAAACAATCGGATAAATACAGACAATAAAGCAACTCCACTTGAAGCAATTGATCACAAGCTATAAAACTTGTTCAGACAACAAGAATCAGATACAAATCAGAAAGATATCAAGCCTTGACCTTTGGGCGCTTCACGATCATCACACTGCAGTGGGCATGGTGAGCACAGTAGTCACTTACACTGCCCAAAACAGTCCTGCGGGAAAATTTGCATTATGAATTATTACCAGGAAAATTCTATCATCAACTCAATTAGGACGGAATGGATACAAAAGATTGATATAGTCGACCACAACTAAATTTGGGATTGAGAAGTAGTTAATCAATTGACTAGCAGGAAGGTGTGTAATTTGAGCAGAGTAACTCGTGCTAAGCACCAAGCATTTCATTTTTGCGGCGAAGATAAAAGTTTCAAGTACTATATTAGTCTGTATCCATCCCAATCCAAATAAGAGACCAAATGAACATGTCATTATTTTCCCTTCCAACACCCCGCAAACCCCTTTGTGGTGTAGTTAGATGGAGAGGCAAAGACGGGGCATACAGAAAAAAAAAAAGGGGAAAAGAACAATATTGCTGCAACTAAAGATTGGTCCATCAAATGTGTGGAATAAAGATAAATTACCTCTTTAGAACGCCATAACCATGACTACCAACAACTAACATAGAGGCATGATGCTTCTCTACAGCGTCACACAAGACATTCCTAGCATCACCTTCCATAACCTCAACTACAACATCGTTTGCCTGAAAACAATAAGATTTGTTAGGGGAAAACGAGCAATGTTCAGTTGTGAATTTGCAAAATATGCAATCAAAAAGAACTGATAAGATTGGAGATCACTGGATCAGTTCTGAAGATAATTTTGACAACTTATCCAGCTAAAAGATGACATGATCACATCTATTTCTTCTAGAAAAGAAGAGGGGATCCTTAATCAATGATTTGTTTAGTTAGTCCAATAGAACATCCCAACTCTAAATACTACTAGACGACCAAATCAAAAAGTTATAGTACTAAAGTATACTGCTGAAGGAATATTTGCTTGTAAAAAGAAAGAATTTTAAAAAGGTCAGCTTGATGCACTAAGTAATGCGCAGGGTCCGGAGAAGAGGCAGACCACAAGGGTCAATTGTACGCAGCCCTTCCCTGCATTTCTACCGGAGGCTGTTTCCACGGCTCGAACCTGTGACCTCCTGGTAGCATGACAACAACTTTACCAGCTACACCAAGACTCCCTTTATAACAAGAAGGAATTTTGAAAGGGAAAAATAGAACAAATACTGGACTTGCATTCTTTTATGAAAAGAAATAAACATTTAGGGAAGGTCAGGATAAATGTGAAAGTGGTATAGGATGTGTCTAATCATGAGCACTTTCTTTCAAAGAAGTGAATTCCTGCTCTTAGGAAGCAGATAATCATTCTCTATTGATTTCTTCCATTGGTTGGACCTTTCTGTCGCTATGGACTGTTAGCTAGACTAGCAAAGTCAAAACAGCCAAACTCTCAATGGGTACAGAATTGGTTCAAATCTTATTCTGGAGCAAAAGTTATGTAATAAAATAAAAGGATTCTTCATTTTAAAAGCAAAAATTGAATACCGATTTAGCAGAACAGATCTGCTTAGCTTTCTCAGCAACCCTAGAAGAAATCTTCCTCAAATCTGCCTCTACATACGGCAATACATCGGCACCTCCTGCAATTTAAACCAACTCACGAATTCATAACCAGACAATCCATTTCTAGTAAAATCGGAAATATAGAGCACATTCGAAAGTGAAATTTTTTAGCTGCTCAGCTCATAATTCAAATAAACATAGATACCAGGACCGGCGAGGCCGATGGCGGAAGTAGCAGTAGGTTTGGCGTGGACGATGATAAGTTTGAAAGGAGCAGCGTGGGAATTAAGTGGAGGGCCAAAGAAGTGATCCAAAATCCACTCTAATGCATAAAAACTGTGTTGGCTGTCATCTAGCCCCACCACCATCACCGGTTTCTCTTCCGCCGTCGCCATTCCAATTACAAGCTTTTCTTTAGCACGAATTAGAAAGCAGAAACTTGACAGGGTTTTTGTTGGCTTTAAGGGAATTTATTCTAACTGAGTAATTTCAAGCTCTAAGAATGGCGACTCTTTCTAGAGAAGAACAGAAACCTTTTGATCTAACCTGTGTTACTTTTGTCGTCTTATGGTAGCGTACCAGAAATGAGAACTGGCTATGAATTACGTACGTATTTTACTTGCATTTACGAATTACGAAACGTGTTATGTACTGTAGGCATAGCAGCCTCTGCGTACAGTGACGTGCAGAAGGATCTACACAGCACTACAAACTTTAATTACGGATATTGATAGTCTTTTCTAGATTAATATAATATTCTTGTTTCTAGTTAGTGTTCAAACACTTCCTTTCATTTTGTCTGTCAAACATTATATTTTAGAAAATGTGTACTTGTTCCATTTCCTTTTGATGCTAATCGGACGGCTCCATCGTCCGAATGGCCCAAGCCCCATGGAAGGGGTACTAGAAAAGGTGAGAGCCCCATTGTGTTCGGACCCTGCCGCACCACGAAGCATTGTCTACGAGTCGGGTTGTTTAGGAATACAGCCTAAATCGAGCATGAATTATGTCCTAAGGCTAAATACGGAGGAGAGATCGATAGCGAACAAGTAGGACTTTGAAAAAAGAGTCAAAGAGTAACACTTCTAATTTTGAGGGTCAAACCGTCCTATATTTTCCAACATATATTTTATTAGAAATGTTACTCCTAATCTATTGCACTTTCTATGTAATTTCTAACTGTTTAAACTTATCTTTAAGCAAAAATAAAAATTAATGTCCAAATTTGGTTAGAAAATTAGAAAGTTTGAACTTTATACTTTGAATCCCAGTTCTTTTTTAAAAACATAGCGAGAAAACAAACAAGATTAATGGAAATAAAGAACAAATAAGGTTTGAGGTATTTACAAACACATTTTCAAAAGTATAATGGTCTGAATTGTATATAGTTTTAATAGAACAAGTTATTTGAAGTTGAGAGGTGAAACATTATGTCTCAGTAATGTAGTGTCTTGCTCGTTTGTAACAAACTAGACAAATCTAGAAGTTTTCTCTCCTTGCCTTGAAAACTAAATTTTCAATGCATAAATTGATAACTTGTACTTTGTCAACTCCGGTGGGTATAATTTAATGACCATATAAATTATCTAGGGGAGGAACGACTTGCCAACGTGGTATAAGGTGTTATTGTCAACAATACTTGGCTCTAGACAACTCAGGACCCAAAGAATTTCAAGTGAAAAAGCAGAACACTTGAATTTGACGTTCAAATTCTTCTTTTGACGATGAAGGATAAGAAAAGAGTGATTAGAGTTTATGAAGGTTTTTGTTTGCGTATAGTTAGGGGAGGCAAACGGGCTGGTCGGGCATGGGACGAGTCAAAAACGGGTAATGAAAAAATAAATAAATTATTCGATCCGAACAATATTTAATACAGATAAAAAATAGGTTAACCGGCGAATAATATGGGTGATGCTTACTTTTAGAAGAATTCCTAGTTTCCCAAACTTGAAGAACCCCCAATTTGAAGCTTTACAAATAAGATAAACTCATTAGTTATCCATTTTCTAAATGGATAATATAGTTCTTATCCATATTTGACGGGAGAAATTCAAAAATAGCCAAATTTACAAGTGATAATTGAAAAATAGCCACCGTTTCAAAAGTAATCGAAATTTAGCCACTTTTCATGTAAAGATAAATCTAAACGAAAACAATGTTTAAAATCCTGGAACTCCAGCATATTATGCTGGAGTTCCAGTATAATATACCGGTCCAGCATAATATACTGTAAGTTCATACACAAGTGCTCCAATCTCCATTATATTATACTGGAACTTTCCGCGTGTTGGAATTCTAGCATAATATGCTGGAAGTTAATACACAGGTGCACCAATCTCCAGTATATTATGATGGACCGGTCCGTGTTGCAGCAAAATAATAGCTATTTTTCAATGACTTTACAAATGCTGACTATTTTTGAATTACCAATCCAAAAATTAGCTAGCCCGTGCTATTTTTACATATTTGACCCATTTTTAAAAAATTCATTATCTAACCCAATTTTTAATGAATAATACGAGTGGTTAACTATTTTGCCACCACTAGGTATTGTAAATCAATTCACAAACCGTGTTTATTTTAGGAAAACAAATAGGGTAATGCACAGCGCAAAAAAAAACTATCCTAAGCCGATGATCTATTGAAAACAAGCTCTCTATCCTCACAAGGGCAGGGGTAAGGTCCTCAGACCCCACAGCGTGGGATAATACTGGGTATGTTGTTGCACTTGCACAGCGCAAAAAAATTGACAAAAATATAAAAATACAATGTTCTGAAGGCTCATTTCTGGATCGATGACAATGGAGGTCAAAACAGGCTCAATATACTGGGCTTTCAGACTTCATCCCGCTCATCCAAGTATAACTTTACCCAGAAAAAACAGTGATCACATTTGCTTACTGCAATTGTTTTGTTGGCATCATGTAAAGGGAAGCGGGAAAATTAGCATCCTCTCACCTCTTGACATTTCTTCAGCGTTTTCTTTTGTGGTTGTCTTCCTGGTATTTACTTCAACAAGTATTTGGCGTAAAATATGACAATAGAATTAACTGCAACAATGCAAAACTAAATGGAGCGACCGGGAGCTTTCCTTCCCGCTGCCATCCCAAAGTGTTATCTTTGTTCCTTCAGTTAGCCCGACAATTGCATGCTACAGCGGAACAAACTTCACAAGATTCAAGAAAAAATTTGGACTCTTTATCCAAAAAGTCGAAAGACATGAGACTGTTTATTAAATAAATCAATTGGTATATACAGAGATCTAATCAGGTGAAAATTGGAAGACAAGCTTCAGATAGATATTTCATAACCTGCACTTGCTGATATAAATACCTATAAAACTAACTATAATACACATTCGCCACATTTGGCCAACGGGGGAGGGACTCCGGGGAACCTGACATGGATTTCCATGCATGCAGGTTCGCTGCTACCATCTTGGGTAGATTTAAGTACCAAATAAATAAAGCAATGCTATACAGTTCAAATGTCTCTACATGAAATAGCTGAGAGATTTCTTCTTCCTTGATCCACCTTCACCATATAATTCATTCCACTGGAGAAGTTCATTCATGTTTGCCGATTCTGATGATACACTAGCACATACCTGCATTTTAACATGCAATAAGGCATGAACCTCCTCCCCTTACATGCACACTGTTCCTCTACCATGATAAAAAGCTTAAAACAGACAAGGTCCAAATAATTACACAGTTTTGATCCTACCAATTGATACACATTTACACAACCATTAATCTTGTGTACAAGTCAAATTGACAAAAGCTCACTCCCGGAATATGAAAGGCAAAGATGATACAGAAATATAGCATCAAACCATGTAGAAGTGCATTTAATGGAATGAAGAGCATGGAAAGTGAAGAACAGTGATATGTATGGTTGAGGTTATAATAAAAACCCTTAGATCTTAAGTCTAATTTCCAAGAGCAAGTTTTACCACAGTGCAGGAGGCCATAAAACATACCTGTTCATGTGCATATTTAAAATCATCAATGTTAAGAGGACGAATGTCCGCACTACTATGCAATGCAGGGACAGGCCTGCTCTCTGCAACTGCCAATGCTCTTTCCTGAAATAATGCGAGTTAAGTTACATCCCAAGTACTTAATTAGCTCATGACAGTATGAACGACACAGGCTGATGATAATGATTCCAACATAAATAGAAGCACATATCTGGGACTGTTAAAAAAGCTAGTGCACAACTTTAGGAAGAGCATGTTTACATGTCAATCAAAATCACAAATTCAACCAACTGTTGGAAGGAAACAGAAACATATGAAACCAGTTGAGTGAACAGAGTAAACTGACCTTTTTCTCTTTCTCCAAAATTTCTCTAATTGGGCAATGAGCAGCTGTGACACACAAATTCTGTGAACAGAAATTTAAGAAGGTGACAAGCGTGACTTGTGATATTGAATAGAAAAAATAAAGGGAGGAAAACCAGTCATTGGGGCGTTAAAACTCCTAACACATTAGAAAGTCAGTTATTACTTAATATAAAGATACAGGATCACCCAGCAGACCTTTAAATCACTCCCAGAATAACCCTCAGTCATATTAGCAATAGCTTTGAGATCAACATTTGGTGCTAACTCTTCCTTGGCCAATATCACTCTCAAAATTTTCTCCCTGTTCGGAGCATCTGGCAGGTTTACCATCAGCCTGCATCAAAGGTGCACTAAACGTTATGATTCCCAATAAACTAGTAACAAACGAATGTTCTTCCCGTTTTGTCTTCTCTCTTCCGATTAATTAGCTAAGAAAATCCCTGGTTGATTAAATTTACCTTCGTGGAAGCCTCCTAATAACTGCTTCATCAAGGTCGAATGGTCTATTGGTTGCAGCAAGTACAAGCACTCGCTCCTTGTCCTTTGTACGCAAGCCATCCCAATTCACCATGAATTCATTCTTCATTTTCCGCATGGCTTCATGCTCGCCAGGATTTTCTCGTCTTCCTAGCATGCTATCCACCTAATAGACCAGAAGAATGGAGGTGCGAAGAGGGTAAACATAACAGTCTTTTTAAGAAAGCAAAAGACAACTTGCAGTAAAAAAAGGATGGCAGATACATTTACATAACATATAAGCTAAAGAGTAGATTATCAACTTAAAAGAGGAGACACACTTTGTGTAAGGCGCACAAACTTTATCATAAATATAACAAGTTCGAGAAAGGGAAATATGAAGTAAATTTTACCAACCTCATCAACAAAAACAACACTTGGAGCTATTTTACTAGCTAATGAGAAGACTGCTTTGACATACTTCTCTCCTTCACCAAACCACTACAATCAAGAAAAAGTTGTAAGCCATTAAAAGAAGGGCTTTAAAAGACGAAATGGTAAACACACAAACAAGACATAGGTTGTACCTTTGAAGTAATACTTGACATAGATATGTTAATAAAGTTCGCACCAGCCTCCGTAGCAACAGCTTTTGCAAGCATTGTTTTACCGGTACCAGGGGGCCCAAAAAGCAATATTCCCTTGCAAGGCTATACATGATATCTTCTTCAGAAATAGAAGTGCATGAATGATGAAAAAATTACACCAAGCCCCACTCCCTATGTAAAGAAAAAAATAAAGAATCCCGACGAAGATATAGATCCAAATGGATTTCAACGTCAAGGAAATCTTTTCACCTTTGTTAGCTGTCCTTTACAGAACAATTCAGGCCTCTGAAGTGGCAGCATCACCAACTCTTTCAAAGTATCCTTGACATTTTCCAGGGCCCCAATGTCATCAAAAGTAACCCCAATATCGCAAGGCGGAATAACATCCGCAAGTAGTCTTTTTTCAAAATCATTCTCAGTAACCACATCCTGAAAACTCGAGCATTAATACTCTGCTTCATGAAGTTAACAACAAAAGGCAACCTATTTACAAAATTGAATTTGCAAAAAACAGAGACTTCACCTTGAGAGATTTTTTCAGACTCTTGGTTTCATTTTGGATGCCTTGCAAAATATTGAGCCCATAACCAATGCTGTCAGATCAAATATAAGACATATCAGTCCATGCCTCCTTTTGCCAACCCCCCAAAACCAAAGAACCCTTCAGTTGTCCAAAATAGCAAAATAAGATGACATTATAGTGCAAATCTTCCAACAGTATGAATTAGACAGTAAAATTTAGTTTGACCTTTCACCGGAGATAACCAGCTTGGCCTCTTTTATTGACGACTCAGATTTGTGCATAAAGTGGTGGCTCAAGGCCCAGCCTATTATCTTTTCCACACCTATCACAATCACAAGGAGAACATGAAAATATATTATAATCATGTTAACAATTTCAAACACAAAAAGCCCAACTTAAAGGAATACTTACTCTCACTTGTTAATGCTTGATCTTTTATGCATAAAGTTTCGAGGTCAGGGCAATCAATTCCTATACGACTCAAAACCTGAAAGTTAGGATACTTCACTCAGTCAATAAATTGAGGATACAGTTAAGAAAATCATTATACTCATCTACTTTTTAGGCTAATTGCCATAAATACAAAAAATGAAAACATTCATCCTAAAATAAATAAACCTTCGCTCTTTTGAGAAGAGCACATGTAGGAGTAAGGCATGCGTACACACTACCCTCCCTAGACCCCACTTATGGGATTACACCCCGATTGTTGTTGTTGCTGTCGTTTGAAAAGAGATATGCCTATAAGAAGGTGGATTTAGGTAATATCCAGAACAAAGAGCAAGAGAATGAAAATCGGCTAAGCTAGAGAGATGTTTCATTGTTCTAAAACTGAAGGTATCCATGTGAACAGTCCTACATAATGTACAGCCCAAAAGCAATGAAAGGAGAAGACAAAAAGGCCTTTTCCCTTGCCAAACAAAGGTTCCTTAAGCTGGGGCAGAAGGAGCTCTCACATTGCGAATGCTTGCGATGTTTGACTGAGATTTCAAAGTTTCAATATCCCGTTCTAGCTGTTGCTTCCAGTCAGATAATAATGCTTCATCCTGCCACAATTAAGATACATACTAAATGCTTCAATCACACAATATTTACAGTTGGCAAGCGTATGCGTGAACTAAGAATTACCTGAGGTAGCTGTATTGTAACTTTGTTGGGGAAAAGACGGGTGAGCTGCTTCATTGTTTTAGGGGTTTCTTTGCTTCTATCATGCAACCTACCAAAATTATCCTGGAAAACCGAAGACATTGCAATGCATCGACATCAGTTATTTTACAAGTGCAGTAGCATGAGATGAGTTTAAACTGAGTAACATGGTCAGCAAGGATTCCAACTTGTTTGGGACTGAGGCATAGTTGTTGATGCTTTATGTGATTCTAAAATGCAATTCGTGATTACATAAATTGCCTTGAAGCTTCTTACAATAGAATAAGAAACCGAGTACTGCGTAACTGAACTCCTGAACATATAGACCATGATGGAGAAACAGGTTTTTGTACTGTAGGTAAAAAAATGTTCGAGCAAGTAATCTTGATTTACACGGTGTTAGGCATAGGGAAATAACAAATCAGAGGCAACTCATTTTAACACAAAGCAATGCATCTTCAGAGTACATAGATGCCATCTCAAGGCCTCCCCCATTACAACCCAGCTCTTCATCACCACTCGACAAACTAGAAGAATAAAGAATATATAAAAAGTGAAAGAAGAAAAAAGGCCAGAAAACTCCTTGTAGATCCCTTTTCTTTAAAAGGTAAAGTATAAATTCAATTACTATAAGCCAGACCTTCCTTGCATTGGAAGGAGAAAACTAGAGAACAAGTTATTGAGGAAAAAAAGAGCATACAAAAGAGATAAACAGATTCACATACTGGGAAGGCAAGGTCAAGCAATGCTGTTTGGTTACTTCCTAACTTTGTAAACAGCAGTCCACCAGGATGTGACTGGAAAGCATAAAAGAATTTATCAGTCTCGCAAGTCAGAATTTGATCTCAACAGAAAGCAAGACAACTATACCCTTACATACTTTCTCCTTTCGGTTGTCTGTTTGGGTATAGGAAGCTATGACAACAACATTCTCTGGTAAATGTTCAAGTTTAACCTTGAAAGCAGCATAGGCCTCAGGATTTCCCACCATAGACTTCTCAATGTCTTTGACAAGTAAAACTAATGCACTACTTTTACTTTCTTTTGAAGCAACCTACATATGTAAAACAGAGTAAATTAAAGGAAAGAAACTTGAATACTAGTCCAAGAAAGGAAAGCTATCATGGACATGAAAATTACCTCAAAGAGTTCATCAATGGCCAGTTTATCAATATCATCACTGCTCGAGCTATCAAGGCGGAGCAAGTCAGCTGTGTAAGAAAAAAGGTCAAGTTTCAGCAACAAGATATACTCAGTTATTCCAAATTGATGGGCAACACACACAAAGATGAAAATTTCTAAAATGGACGGAGTAGCAGAAAACTACCAGCACAAAAAAAACCATGGTCTTCCTCGCAGAGACCACCAAGATCATTGCCTTCTGGAATTGATTTATCGAACCTGACGCCGATCTTAGAGGCCTCATTATCTTCAAATGCACGAACCACTTTCCCCCTATAACCATATGTTGGACCCCTGTGATCACATGTGTACATGTCATGATTTGCAAAATTATAAAATAAAATAAAAACCACAATATACATCCACTTTTACTTGATAAAGAATAACAAGACTTCTATCTAAACAAGTCAACCTACACAAGCACAGGAATTCCTAATTGCCATATACATGTCCTTTCATACCATATGACTGCTAGATTGACCAAATATATTGAAATACAAATAGTGAAACTCTCAATGATTGCAATCAGAACATTACACTTGCATTGTCCACAGCACATCTTAATGAGTACAATTTGCTTGTCTTCTTCAATTGGTTAGAGATTGAAGACAAAAACATGTAGACCATAACTCAGTAATATTCATAAAACTAAACAGCAATTTAAAATTTAAACAGCAAATTCTAAGTAATAATCTGAACCACATTTACTTGATAAAATAAATAATAACGAATATGTTTATCTTCTCATATGAAGGACTATATTATGTCAGGAGTTACTTAATACTTTANCTAACTTCTCATATGAAGGACTATATTATGTCAGGAGTTACTTAATATTTTGGAAGTCCATAGTCAATATTATTTTCATGTTTGCAAAGAAAAGGACTAGTCACCGGGAAATATCAAAAGGTTTTGAATGATAACTCTTTTTTTATGAAGAGGTTTTGAATGATTACGTAGTAACAACAATATATTAAGACAAATTACACTTAAATTTTCCTAAAGTATTTGACAATAGTGTATATGTAATGCAAAAACACTTTCAACATTTCTTAGATAAAACAAATACTACTCCTATAGTGGATCTTTCAAATACTACTCCCCGTTAGCTCTCATGTGGATAGTTTGGGGAGAGAGAAATAGGAGAGCTTTTGAAGGGATTGAGTCTCCTTTTTCACATCTTAAGAATAGTCTTTTATCTTTGATCGCTTTTTGGTGCACTCATATAGCCCCTACTTGTGTAGAAGATTGTGCGTCTTTTGTAGAGAATCATGTTTTGATGTAAATTCTCTACTTTTTGGTATACTTCTTGTATACGGGAGTTTTTTCTCCCTTTTGATTAATACAATTTACCTTATCAAAAAAATAGTGGATCTTTCAAAAATTATTTATTATTTTTTTCAAAACCGAGAAATCCCAAGAGAAGCTAATGGCACTTGGTTCGAATCTCGGTGGATAACAGCCCTGCGCTTCTCCACTCAAATACCATGCTTTTGTCTACAACAAGGTTCGAACCCGTGATGTTATTAATTATTAATCTTTTTCGAAAGTATTAATTACTCCCTCTGTGCCATTTTATGTGGCTTTGTTTGACTGGCCACGGAGTTAAAAATAAAGACTTTTGAAACGTGTGGTATGAAACAAGTATAGACATTTGTATAGCTATAAATCATCTCATCAAGGATAAACTGAAAATTTTAGGTTGAATTATTTCTAAATATAGAAATATATCATCATTTTTGGGACAAACTAAGAGAGTAAGTGTGCCGCATAAAGGGAGTACTAGATACGACCGGCATTATGTTCCATGAATTTTAATTAGTTAATAGAAATTATTAACTTATTTATAATTAGAGAGACAGCTATGATCAATTTTTCTATCCATACTTAACCATTTAATTCACTAAGTTCTGAAGTTCATTGGTAGCAGTCACTGTTTATAGGCTACCCCTGTCGAAATTCACCAGAAAGCTAATAGCAACACCGCATATAGAATGCTAAAAGCAGCAGAGACATACACACACGCATGTATGCACCCCACAATTTTGAGGG